TAATAACTCCACGTCTATTGAGCTGGCATTATTAATTATTCGTTCTTGAAACCTGTACGGCGATTCTGTGACTTGCTATCGATGGTTTTCGGTATCGTTAACCAACCTATGAAAGCTGTGCTTTTAACGTCTTTGCTGTCGCTAGTTAATTTCGATACCGAAAAACATCGATAGCAAGTTACAGAATCCCGGTACTGGTAAAATCATTAATGCCGAAAAATACTGTTCTTAGATGGAGGAAATGCACCAACAATTACGCTTTAAGCAACCTGCAATATGCATATTGCTTTATGATAACGCTCGATCACATGTAAAGGACGAGGGGTGAGGGGCAAGGGGCCAGAGCCGAGCGTCGAGCAGCGAACGACGCAGGGCGAGGGGCGAGGGGCGAGCGGGGAGTGTATACTGAAGCTCGCCGCTCGCTGCGTGACAACTTTTTTTCGGCGCGTCGCTCCACTCTCGCTATTAGATGATGCCCCACCGTTGCCTGCCGAGTTCGGCCTGCGCCTTCTACGTTCTCATTCGCTCAGACATTAAAATTAATTTCTCGATAACTATTGCGAATTTTGTAAAATAGTATAGGACTTTTCTATTCAGTTTGCCCCGGTCTATCTGCCATGTACGGGTGATACGGGTATTAGGACACACCCTGTATACAAATTACCTGACAAAACGTTTTTATATCGACAAAATTAACAAATCAATTTTTAATATTTATTACAGAAAACAAGAATATTCTCTAAGCCTGCAATAAACATAGTTTTAACGCTTAACTGTAAATTCCTTAGAATCTATTTTTTGAAATAAATTATAATTTTTATTAATAGATACTTACCTTCTATCGTGTTAAAAATGTGATGTAAAAAAAGTATATTACAATGTTTACGACAATCGCTAACCCCCACACGTTTTATGTCATCAGTTTCTATCACATCTGTTATGCATTGGCGTCGCAATAGAAATCTCTGTACAAGTTCTGCCAGCCAATCGCGGAAGGGCTGGTCACGTGACGAGTTGGCGCCTCTCTCTCCTAGAGGCCTCTACCTCTCGCTATTAGATGATGCCCCACCGTTGCCTGCCGAGTCCGGCCTGCCGCCATCTACGCTCTCATTCGCTCAGACATTAAAATTAATTTCTCGATAACTGTTGCGAATTTTGCAAAATGGTATAGGACTTTTCTATTCAGTTTGCCCCGGTCTATCTGCCATTTACGGGTGATACGGGTATTAGGACACACCCTGTATATTACAGACAACATTCGCTATGCCATCGAGTTGCTCTGCGTATAAATGTTGCAACACAAGCAATGAAGGATACGCATTGTTTACATATCCACGTGATAACACGTTAAAAAAACAATGGATTGCTGCGGTTGGAAGAGGCAAGAACTGGTCACCTAGCAGTTCTCAAAAACTCTGTGAGGTAATGTGCAGTATGCTCTAACTTTGTACTTCAAAAGATGTAACAATATAATTTATTGTTCGACTTAAAGTATGTTTAGATTTGTCTCTTTTTAAGTACACTTTATACCACTTGAAATTGAGTTTGTTGCTGGGCGCAAACGAGTAAAACTGGATTCAATTCCTTCTCGTTTTTGTACGTGCCATTTGTTGTTGAAAGAGCAGCCATCAACAGATTTAAAAGTTAATAATACGTCCAGTAAAAGACGTGTTTTAAAATGAAACGGAGAACATCAGTCCAACATCAGCATGGCTGTGTACAGACTTCCAAACCATTAACCATAGAGGAAATACAAACTACTGCGAAGTCTCAAGAAATGGATACAGAACAAATAGATGAAATGCAGCCAGCTGACGAAAATGGAAATTTACTTAGAAGCATTATAAAAGAAAATGAACAGTTGCGGAATGAAATAAAAGAAAATCTAGAACAAGTAGTAAATATAGATAGGAAGACTGAAAAGATTGATACACATGTGTATAGAGAGGTATGCAAAGAAAATGATGAACTAAAACAACAGGTCAAAGTATTAGGTGAACGTGTACAACTTGCCCAAAAAGTGTTGGCTGAGGATCAGTGGAAAGCTTTAAATACTGATTGTGAGCATAGTAAAGGTTTAAGATGGTCACAAGAAACAGTTTTAAAAGCACTGAGCTTGCGTTTTACTTGTGGTACTACAGGTTACAATCATATAAGGGATGTTGTTGCTCCTTTTCCTTCAGTCAGAACTTTACAGCGAAGAATAGAGAACATTTCTTTTGAACCAGGAATTTTATCAGATATTTTCCTCCTACTTAAGGAAATGGTAGAACATTTAGATAAAATTCATAAGTTCTGCTGTTTGGTTTTTGATGAAATGAGCATCCAAGAGAAAATAGATTTTGATCCAAACAGCAATGCTTACATTACGATATACCACTCTACCCGGTGTATCTCGGACAATAGCATCTAAATTGTTGGCTTTTCTTCTCAGTGGAGTATGTGCAAGATGGAAGCAAATTGTAGCGTATCATTTCGTATCCTCACAGACACATGCAAAAAGTATCAAGGAAGTAATATTAAGCATATTAGAACAATGCGAAAAGGAATGGTCTTGTTGTGATTTGTTTGGTTTGTGATATGGGTAATTTTAAACGTGGAATTTTAAACGAACTTGGATTCAGCTGCAAAAAAGACAAAATAGTGTACAGCATTCCTCATCCATTCAACTCTTTAAGAAATTTGTATGCTATTCCTGATTTTATTCATACATTCAAAAACTTGAAAGAAATGTTAATGAAAATTGGTGTCATTGTATTACCTAAAGATGTTGTTAATACGTATAATTTACAATCACAAACAGTAGATATGAGATACGTAGAATGGCTTGAAGATAAACAATCCGACATGACCCTGAAATTTAATCCAAAATTGAAGAAAAAAGATATAAAACCTGTTGGGCACCGTCACCCGACGCCGCCGCCACTGCCAGCGGCAGCGACATACAGGGAGAGGGGGAGCGTCCGATCAGTTAGTTCTTACCGGTCTTGCATAGAGCTCACATCGGTGTATCCGAATAAAGACCGCTTACGTGAACATTACGAGGCTCGCAATCTGTTATCGTCCTAGACCTTACGTCCTTCCCTTCCTCGTTCGAGACACCATCCCGAACGTTCTCGTCGGGACTCAACAAAACCTAATCACTTTAATAAAATGAAGGTGACTGTAGCTACTAACATTATTAGCCCTCAAACTGCAGGAACTCTATTTCGTCTCAGTGAAATTATGAATGACCCAATAATGGAAACGACATCTTGGTTTATTTTAATGTTAAGACATTTATTCAAGATAATGACTTCACGCGACAAATTGTTTGCATTGAGTTTCAATAAGCTGGACTGTTATCATAAAGTAATAGAAACTATTCGCCTTTTTATTTGTATCTTCAAAAATGCAACAATTAAAGGGGATTGGAAAGTCACTTTTACACACATAATTATGTGTTTAGAAGCTATATTAGAAATTCAAGAGAAGTTATTTCAAACAGAATCGCTGGATTTCTTATGTTTAGCCCGCTTTAGTCAGGATTGCATTGAAAATGAATTTTCTAACATTCGTAAACAACGTCCAAAACCCTCTGCTCTAGAATGTAAAAACCGTCTGAAGCAGTTGGCTATATCGCGTAAAGCTGTGTCAATAAGTAACTCTAGCTACAACTTTGATGGATCTCCAACATTGATTAGTCTGATTTCACAAAATAAAAAACCAAAGCAAACTGACACTTTACAAATTACATTCCCACAGTTGCATGAAATTGAACCTTTAACGGATGAGGAGGAAGAGATCTTATACAAAATGTGTGGCTATGTTGTATTTAAGCTTAAGAAACGAATAAAATATACTAATTGTTACTTAAAACTATTACATTCAGGTCCAGTGCTTCATCCTAGAAGTGGTTTTGTAAAGGCTTGTGAATTTCTAGAAGGAGCTCTTGTTTCAGTTTCAGATGAAGTATTTCAACTTTTAAAAGCTGTAGAATTAATTTTGAAAAGCATAAAGAATAAATTACAAAATGAACAAGGATTAAAAGCATGTCTTGAACATAATTTAAGAAAAGAATTTACTAGTTTCACTATCAGTACTTGCCATAATACGTAGGATATTTTAATTTCTAGATATTGTAGTATGAGGTTGTGTCAGATATCATCTGAATTAAGCATTATTTCTGCTGAAAAGAGTAATACATCTGCCTTTGGCAGCAAGAGTATGGGATCAAGACTGTTAGCTGATAATTTCAATCCAGTCAAGAAAAAAAAGAAGCTAAAAAATAAACCGTGTGCAATGCATATGTTTTTAAAGCAAATATTTGTGATAGGCAAAATGTGATATATAAAACTTTTGAATTTTTATTCATCGAAGTATTGACTAATTAATAATAATAGTAATATTGACTAATTAATAATAATAGTAATAAGTTTCTACAGTAATACATTCATAATATGACACTTTATATGTTTAATTTATGTTGTAATAGATGTGCAATAATGGAAATTTTGATTTTATGTTTATTTCTGTTGTTATTGCAGCTATTTCGATTAGATTTCGTTGATTTAAGTTAGTTGCTTTCGAAGTATTAAATGATACATGTTATTTTGGATATGTAGTAAACGGTTACATTGAGTGTAATATTGTTTTAACAGGTTTTGTGTTATTTATAGAAAAATAAATATTTGTACTTTGTTACACTTACTACAATGTTATTTTTTCATTACATACAATAAAATTGTATTCTTTTCTCATTTGAAAAGTAAACTTTAAAAACGCTTACTTTTTTATTTCAAAGATAAGAAAGGTAATTACAAAGAATGATTGTTAATAGTTTCTTCTATAATGTTTGAATTACAATTTGAAATAAACTGTTAGAAAACAATTACAAAACAATTAGAAATAATATATGGTATTAACATACGTTACATGATACCAGTAATAATGTAAATATAATACAAAATAGTTTCAATGATCATTTTCCAATCAGCTATTATGCAGTTGAAGTTAATTAAAACTGTTATAATAAAAAGAGATTTTGTACAAAAATTTGTCACATTTTTTACAAGATTACTGTCTTCTATTTTGTAATATCTGTTGGAGGAGGAAAACAACTGTTCTCAACATACCATTTTCTCTGCGTATTTTTTCTATTATTTCATCTATTTGTTCTGTATCAATTTCTTGAGACTTCGTTCGCAGTAGTTTGTATTTCCTCTATGGTTAATGGTTTAGAAGTTTGCACACAGCCATGCTGATGTTGGACCGATGTTCTCCGTTTCATTTTAAAACAAGTCTTTTTACTGGACGTATTATTAATATTTAAAGCTGTTGATGGCTTA